TGTAAGAGAGTACCCAATAAATAATAAAAAATACCTACGTGAAAACATATATAGATACATCCATACATAATTACATGGTTACAAATAAAAGAAAAAAATTATACACAAGAGGCAAATAATAAAATTAGATTTGGACCTACCTACATGCATGCTTTTAATGTATACACACCTAATATATATATCAAACATACATCAACCCATATACATGCATACAATTTACACGTAAGTATAAAAACCGTTAACACCAACATAGAGGCCTCTGCGTACTCTGTTAACTGAATTCGTTTTCATCCCACACAAAAATACACATGGGGTTATTGCCATTGAAATTTCATCTTGGGATCAATTGGTATAAAGATTCACTTTAGGATCTCTCTGGGGAAAATATATCACTTTGAAACTGTTTCGTACAAAATTTCTGATTGAGATCTCTCTCTCTCTCTCTCTCTCTCTCTATCTCTCCTTTTTTTCTCTCCGTCTCTCTCTTCCTCTCTCGTCTCTCTCTCTCTCTCTCTCTCTCACTCGTTCTGACTGGCTTGTAAAATGAAAGCATATTGTATACCATGCATCGTGTATATCTTCCACACTTATAATTAAACAATCACATATGCAAACATACCTACGAATAACATGTGTATACATTTCAGTCGCTCAAAAAGGTTGCAACAAACTTTTCAAGAAATTTTTCAATAGTCGAGTTTGATGTCTTCGTAGATGTGGAGCTCTGTCTCTCTCTCTCTCTTTCTTTTTTTCTATTTTCCTTCCGTTCTTGATTTTTTTCTCGCTCTCTTTATCTCTCTGTCTCTCTCTCTCTGTCTCTCTCTCTCTCTCTCTCTCTCTCTCTCTTCTCTCTCTCTTCTCTATCTCTTTTTTTTTCTCTCTCTCTCTCTATCTATCTATCTGTCTATCTATCTACATATCTGTTTATCCATCTCTCTTTCTCTCTGCGTCTTTCTCCCTTTTTTCCCGCAAAGTTCACTCTACGTACTCTGTTAACTGAATTTGTTTTCATCCCACACAAAAATACACATGGGGTTATTGCAATTGAAATTTCAACTTGGGATCAATTGGTATAAAGATTCACTTTAGGATCTCTCTGGGGAAAATATATCACTTTGAAACTGTTTCGTACAAAATTTCTGATTGAGAACTCTCTCTCTATCTCTCTTTTTTTTTCTCCGTCTCTCTCTTCCTTTCTCGTCTCTCTCTCTCTCTCTCTCTCTCACTCGTTCTGACTGGCTTTTGGCGTATCTAGGTATCTATCTACCTAGCTAGCTACCTCTGGAGCAATGAAACTTAAACACAATGCATTACCAGCTTCGGTAATGGCCCAAAAAAATCATTCTATATAACGACTGAGTTTGTTTTCAATCCTACACAAAAGAACCATTGGGTTACTGCCATTGAACGTTCAGCTTGGGATCAATTGGTATAAAGTTTCTCATTAGGATCTTTTTGGGAAGAAATAAACCACATAAACTGTTCCGTACAAAATTTTATTTTGAGATCTCTCTCTCTCTCTCTCTCTATCTTTCTCTCTTCTTCTTCTTTCTCTCTCCCCCTCTCTCTCTCTCTCTCTATCTCTCTATCTCTCTCTTTCCTCCTTCTCTTTTCTTCTCTTTCCATCTGTCTATCTATCTATTTATCTATCTATCTCTCTCTTTCTCTCTCCGTCTCTCTGTCTCTCTCTCACTCTCTCTCTCTATCTATCTATCTATCTACCTATCTATCTATCTATCTATCTATCTATCTATCTATCTAACTATCTATCTATCTATCTATCTATCTATCTATCTATCTATCTATCTATCTATCTATCTATCTATCTAATTATCTATCTATCTATCTATCTATCTATCTATCTATCTATCTATCTATCTATCTATCTATCTATCTATCTATCTATCTATCTAACTATCTATCTATCTATCTATCTATCTATCTATCTATCTATCTATCTATCTATCTATCTATCTATCTATCTATCTATCTATCTATCTATCTATCTATCTATCCCTTCTGTCTCTCTCTCTCTCCTCTCTCTCTCTCTTTCTATCTCTTCTCTCTCCCTTCTCTGTTTATTTATCTATCTATCTATCTATCTATCTATCTATCTATCTATCGATCTATCTATCTACCTATCTTTATATCTAGCTATCTCTCTCTTTCTCTCTCCGTCTCTCTCTCTCTCTTTCTCTCTCTCTCTCCCCCTCTCTCATTTTTGCTCTCTCTCTCTCTCTCTCTCTCTCTTGTTTCTCTTTCTTTTCTCTTTCTTTCTCTCTCCGTCTCTCTTCCTCTCTCTCTCTCTCTCGATCTACTCTGTCTCTATCCCTTTTTTAATTCTCTCTCCTTTCAACATGGGATCATATGACATTTAGGGAGGATCAATTTGTATAGTTTTGGATCATTAGTTATACTTAGGGATTCGTGGTTAAATAAATGAGCAATTGGTTACGCATAGGGACCATTAGATACACCAAAGGGTCATAAACTTCAACTAGGGATCTTTAGATGTACATGATGATCATTGGTTAAACATAAAGATCACTGGTTATACGTGATATGAAAATATTTGCTTAAGCTATGAATATTAAACATAGAGTAATTGGGTATAAAGAATTTACATTGGGACCATTTGGTATAAATTTTTTACCTAGGGATCATTAGGTATAAAAAATTTACGTGGGATCATAAGGTATAAATATTTACATAGGGATCATTAGATAAAAATATTTTACTTAGGGATCATTAGGTATAAATATTTTACATAGGGATCAATAGGTATAAATAATTAGATAGGGATCATTAGCTATAAAAAATTATACATAGGTATCATTAGGTATAAATTTTTCCATAGGGATCATTAGGTATAAATTTTTTTACATAAGGATCATTAGGTATAAAAGTTTTACATAGGGATGATTAGGTATAAATGTTTACATAGGAATCAATAGGTATAAAAATTTTACATAGGGATCATTAGATATAAATATTTTACATAGGGTCATTAGGAATAAATTTTTACATAGGGATCATTAGGTATAAATATTTACATGGGGATCATTAGGTATAAATATTTTACATAGGGATCATTAGGTATAAAAGTTATACATAGGGATCATATATAAAATTTTTTACATGGGGATCATTAGGTAAAAATATTTTACATAAGGATCATTAGGTATAAATATTTTACATAGGGATCATTAGGTATAAATTTTACATAGGGATCATTAGGCTCATTAGCTATAAAAATTATTCACAGGGATCATTAGGTATAAATATTTTACATGGGGATCATTAGGTATAAGTATTTTACATAGGGATCATTAGGTATAAATATTTTACATAGGGATCACTAGGTATAAATTTTTACATAGGGATCATTAGCTAAAAAATTTATACATAGGGATCATTAGGTATAAAATTTTTCATAGGGATCATTAGCTATAAAAATTATACACAGGGATCATTGGTTTTATTTTGGGAACAATATATGTATAGGGATCATCGGTTATACATAGATTGAAAAGAAAATTGAAAAAAAAAGATGAAAAAAAATTTTGAAAAAAAACTTTTTTTGAATTTTTTTTTGAAATTTTTGTGTGAAAAACTTTTTTTTGGAAATTTTTTTACATAGGGATGATTAGCTATGAAAATTATACATAGGGATCATTAGGTATAAATTTTTACATAGTGATCATTAGGTATAATCTATACCCAATGATCCCTGTAGGGATCATCCCCCCCCCCCCGATCCCAGATATCTATACTACTAGTGTTCTATTTCTTGCCATGGCGATAAGGGTGAGTGAAAAGGAGCTCTCATTTGACCTCTTGATTCAAGTCTACCATAGTCTACCATTCGGCTGCAAATATGGTACCACTTGAAAATTTGAGACTCAAAAAATGGTCAACAGTCGCAAAAAAAAGACCTTTTTTTAAGTTACTTATGCATGTGTTTGGAACAATATGTGCTTTTTTCTTGCACAGCAACTGGCTGTGCTTACTTTATATGGATGTCTTTCCAGCGGTTTTTTTCTGGTTTAAAAAACAGCAACATAGAAACAAACAACAAAAAAAGTAAATTTTGATAGTTTTAAACAGCTCAAAATTATGCCATGCACACAAAACTTAAGTTTTGCATTGAAAAAATATTGCTCGAAAATTTATGTTTGAACACAGAACTTTTTTGTGTCAAAGAGATGAAATAAATTTTAGGGGGAATATGCAGATTTTTTTGGGAGAATTTTGTGTTTGAATTGCATTTTGTATAAGCATTTTTGGTCTGCGGAGGTCAAACTAGGAGCAACAAATTAAAGACGTTTTTAAAAATTTTAAGATACCACAAATTTTTCAGTTGTAAAATTCTTCAATTGATATCAGTTTTTGCACATTTAGGTTCTCTGGATATAAAGTTAGATCAACAGTCTTCTAACTAATTTTCGAAAGCAAGAAAGGAATGTTTTTGGTTAATATATGTTTTTTCAGAAAGGCTAGTAAAGGTTTTGATGGAATTGCATATTTAGTTAACCTAAAATTAAACAAACAAATTCAGCAAAAGTGATTTTCATAATTTATCGCTGTTAAGACCATTCTTTTTTTTCAAGCAGAATAAATAATACTGGCTTAATTTCCGTATTGGCTATCATTACGAAATAGCTCAAAATAAAGTTACCAGAATTAAATCAGAATGACATGGCCTGGGTAAATTGCCCAAGTTTTGCGGCAGAAGAAGTAAAATATATATATTTTTGGTTGTTGACATTGGGTGTAGGGAGATTTTCAAAACAAAAACAAAATTGCCAAATTTTTCCCACCAATAAACCAGTTTATACAGGTTAAAGCATACGATCAAAACATTTGCAGCTTGACAGTGATGCGAGCAAAATAGGTTTTATTTAAAAACAGTTTGAAAGCTTTATGCTGTTTCTTCCTGACTTAAAAGACGTGTTTGATCATTTTGAATTCAAAAATTGATAAATTGATAACTTGAGAAGTTAAGATAGAGGGCCATTGTTTGTGTACATATATAAATATTGCTCGAAGAGGCGTGACTCTTTCGGCCTGTTTCCGAGGAGGATCTCGATCTCGTTCAGGACATTCGGCGTCAGCAGAGAAGTGACCTACACAGTAGCGGATTTATGGGACCTACACAGTAGCGGACCCCTGCCGACCCAAAGGGTACCCCCTTCGTACTATTTGGAGATATCCATTTTTGGCTGACTGACCTCAAAATTTTTCTAAGGCGCCTTCGGCGTCAACCTATACTAATTTTGAGAGGGTGTGCACGCCGAAAAAACGCAATTTTTTCTCGAAATTTTCCAAAATTTTCCATCGCGATCTATCTAATAATCGTTGAACATTTTTTAAAATGGGGGGATAGGGAGCTGAACATGAATTACGTAATTGAAACGTGACCTTGAGACTGGCTATGCCTTCTGTCAGCTGGTCCACTGTAGATGCCCCCAGAAGAACACAACTGATACCTTCATTTTTCAGGCACCAGCCTGAAAATGAATAAAAGCCGGTTTGATCTGAACAAATCTCATTCAATATACCGCATTAATTTTTTTGTCTTCTTTTTTTTCCCTAGTGGAGCGGTGGTGAAGTGGTTACGTCTCCGCCTCTCAATTTGAAGGTGGAATGTTCGAGGACCACCATGATCAGTGCTGGTTTCTTCAGGGGGAGGCAACATTACCCAGCCCAGAAAATTTGAAAAAAGTACATGAATATCTTAACGAGGGGCACCACAGAGGTTCTATGTGAGCAGCTCTACAGCTCGGATGATGGTCCTGTCACTTGTAAATAAATCATCTTAATTGGACAAAATGTAAACTTTTTATGGATAAAACATCTGAGTACCGTAGATAATAACAGCTTGAAGAAATTTTAGTTTGTTAATGGAAGAAAAAAGCAACCAGGAATCAAATAAAACTATGGAAAAAATTCAACTGGTCCCGAATGCTGTTTTTGATATTGTTCCAGGCTGAAAGCATTATCACGCAATGAGTATGGGTTTTGAAGGACCTGCAACTAACAGAATTCTCATACTCTCTAAAGATGAAAAAAATTTGCGTAACAGCAGCAAAAACAAAAAAAAACTGTGAAGTCAAGCCTTGCTTACACAGCTATTTTTTTCTGTGATGTGGAGTTGCTTAGGACAGGCAGGCAAATTCAATTAAGATAGCAATAAGACAATTTTAAAGCTTTTTTTGAATTCCCTTCTGAAATACTTATCAATTTTTTGTTCCGACTTTCGATACGAAAGTAACGGAATATTTGTGCACGGGCTGGGTTTTTTTTTCTTCAGACAAATTTCGACTTTTCAACTAGCCATTTCTGACAGAATTTGAAAACTATTGTTGTCCTGAGCTTAAATTTGACAAGATTTTTCACCTGTGACCATTTTTCGTAAAGTTATACGGGTTTAAAGATTGTCATTTTGGCCAATTTGGGCCAATTAACGCGCGATATATTTCGTGCTATTAACGCGTAAGCGTAGATTTAATCCGTCTTAGAAATCGTTCCATGTTGGTGGTTGAAAGAAGCTTATCTGCCATAATTGATTTGTTACAATGAGCGAAATTTATCCTTTTGTACTTTATATGGAGTGTGGGGGATGATTTTTATTAAAAATTTTATTATATTTTATTTTATTACTATAATTTTAATTTTATACATTTAATTTTTCTTGTTATTACTGCTTCATAAACCTCAAAACGCAGTCGGAATTTTCAGGGCTTCGCCTTGATACGAGCAGTCTTGTTAAACTTTGAAGTTGATAAACAAGCGCCGGTCAAGTTCGAGCTTTTTTAATAACAAGAAGACTGCTGATATTAGGACAAAGCCCTGAATGTTCCAACAGCCCTTTAATAGCTTGAAAGTAGTTTTTTGCAATCAAATGAAAAAAAATGTTTGAAAATTTACCCCAGCAAGCAATTTTAAATACAACAAATTTATTTGCGTCTGTTGATTTGCCTTGATTCAATTTTGATAAATTTTTCCACATTAAGAAAAAAGTGGAAAATTTGCACGCTTTCAATTGCCCTAAACTGACAATTTTCAAATCTAAGTATCATCTCAATAAAAGATTGTGGATAACTTTTTGTTAGTTTTCCGCTCAGCACATCATCAATTCTCAGATTAAATTACAAAACTGCCATAAAAATTTAATTAAAAATTTTGGTTTGCTTAAAAAAGCTCACTGAGCGCAAATATTCCGTCATTTTTGCCCAAAACCAGAGCAAAAAAGTTCTATCATTGGCTTTGGTTATCAATCCTCTTGACATATTTATTCATAGTTTTTCTGTCTCCCTCAAAAATTGAAACAAATTTTCTCTTTTGTGATTAAAAATTGGAGTTTTTGGCTGCTTTGATGTGCTAACCAATTTTTTTTTAGGAAAAATCAAACTATCTTGAAACAGTTTCAGTCAAAAACAAATAATCTTACACAAATCTAATTAGATAATGCTATGTACAAGCTCCATTTTGCATTCGTTATTGCAGTAGTTAAAACAACTAGCCTCCCTAATTCATTTTGAATTGCTTTCTGAGCTAGACTTATTTGGCCTCCTACAGTACGGCACAAGTTAATAGAGAAAAGGGAATTTTGCGCGCAATTTTGATACCAATTTGGCTATATTGGCTCTCTGTTAACCACCAGAATTTTTTAGTTGAATTATTTTCTTGAGCTGAGAACATCTTTTAAATAAAAAAAAACATTCTATCAAAAAGGGTTTAATGAAGGCTGAAATATTGTTTGAAGGTACCGCGCTTCACCGAGCAGAAAAATTCCATCGTTTCCTCGGAAGTCAAAACCCTGAAAATCAAGGACAATACAAAACCCTGAATGTCAAGTACAAACTAATGTTTCTCAAGAAGTAATAAAATATTTGGTTCAATTTGGTTCAAAACGAGAAACAATTAATGAGCCTCTTTCGCAGGTGCTTCCGAATGTGCTTTTTCAAATTTCCTTTACAAAAAACAAGATCGCACGTAAAATTTCTTTGAATTTTGTACTTCAAGATATCAAAGTTTTTAATAACCAGAGTTCCGTCAAGAAGTTCCGTCAAACCGTCAACAAGTTCCATCAAGAACTGTTACTTAAAAAGTAGAGGTTGTCTGAGGAAAAAAAAACCCGAGAACAGTCATTCTGCTTTTTTTTTCGAAATCGAAACAATAATATTGATCAAGGCAGTTGGAACTATGTTCAGGCTATGTTCACACTTTATTTGGGACTTTGATCCCAATCTAAATTAACAAGGTCCATCAAAGTCTGAACAAAAAACCACGACCTTGACCCGGATATTGTGGGTTAGTGTTTGTTCATGTGTATTAAACTGAACGCAACAAACCGATAGCCAGCTGCGCTAAAGTGCATCCAATTCTATCTGCAAGTGACTGAAGTTCGTCCAGTTTGGATTGCTGGATACCATCTTCTAGAGGGGAATGAACAACTTTGTTTTTCAGTTGGGAGAACCCTTTCAGGCCACTCCTAGATCCATAAGGAACTAAGCCGTTCTTGTATTTGTTGGTTAGAACCCCGCCGCATAAGGGAGACCGAGTTATTGATCCTACTCCTAAAACACCAATAAATGAGTTGTAATAATTTGGGAAGATAAAGAAAATGCACTCCCATCTTTTCCCCAAAAGTCAGACAAATACAAAACTTTGATAATATTTACTCGTTTTCAAAAAAAAAAATTTGGGGTAGTCCAAATGTATAGATTTGTTCTAATCACCTTTGCTTGTCATTCTTTATAGCGAAAAATTGCGGAATTAAGCATGAAATTATGCAAAAATTAGAAATAGAAAATTTGCATGATATCATGCTACTTTTCGTGATTTTTCGCAATAAGGCATGATGAGCAGCAAATACAGTGCTGATTTAAATTGTCCGGACAAAAAAAATCACATGGGAAACCTTGAACGCGTTTTTCCCAAATTAGGTCGAGATAGCAAATGTGAACGGAATGAAAGTTGTGCAGAAAATTACCAGAAGTATCATAGTGGAATTAATTTTGCCAAATTTAAAACTATAATTATACCCAAAAACGAATCGTTTGGCTTTTCTTGATTTATAGCATATTACGCTAAAACTACTGCGGTAATTGATAATTTTATCAAATGAAGCCTCGTACACAGCCCAACAAAATTTTAGGGAAATAAAATTTGCGCAAAACATTCAAAATTTGTTAGTAAGCAAAAATTTTGAGATTATTATTGTTGGATATTTTGAAGATTTCACAGATTTTTGAAAATCTCTAAAAACCTGCGTAAGATAATATATACACATTTTTTCATAATATCAAACTAAAAGTTTTGCTTATTAAAAAATTTTGAATGTTTTGCACAAACTTTTGTAGATTTTACCCCTCAAACTTCTGGAGATTTTACTGTGTTGGACTTTGTTAGAGGTTTCATTTGATATAGTTTTCTTATCAATTAACTTAGTCATTTTTGGCGTCACTTTCAATTAGAAACCAAATGCCCATTTTTGTAGATACAATTTTGGTTTCAAATTAGCAGAAAAAAATTGCACAATAACAATTCTGGTGAAATTCGATACAGTTTTTGTTCCTTCTTTTTTTTGTGTATAATCGACCCATTTTGAGGAAAACGCGTTAAAGTTTCCTATGTTGTTCGTTTCGCTCGGATAATTTGAATCTGCTCTGTATGCTCAGAACAATTACCTTGTTCACCATGGCAACGATGAAAAAGGTTTCAAAAACTGAAGCTCAAAATAGTACATGGCAAAACTGGCAATTTTTAAACTCCCAGAAATTTACAAAAAATGATTGGATGTAAAATATAATTTTTTATTTGATTTAAAAGAGTCAATAGCTTCAAAGTGTTATTAAATTTTTATTAAAAACTTTTAATTCGACCGCCAAAAATTGACTGAATAAAAAGACGCTCCGAGCATAATTGTTCTGTTTTTTTTTTTCAAAAGTCGGAATTAAAAGGCTTGAAACAGCAAAACTAAGTAAGTGCAATAGTGGCAATGACCGAAAATTGTCAAAAAGACGGGTTTTAAAGAAGCATATCCTTTTTGATTCAAACATGAAATTTTCTAAAGACTGCGTTTGTCATATCGTCACATTGACTCGACCGCTTCTTAGAAAAAAAACGCTTGCAGGGGCCCTTTATGCACTACCCCATAAAAACCCTACAGCAAACTATAGCCCTTTTATACAAAAATTTAGTAAGCTGAGGGGGTAATTTTTGTTTTTTCAGGGTTGTAAGGTTATAATGGGGCAACCCACTCGGCTGGCATTCTTGTCTTCATCCAATTAAAACAGCAAAAAATTTTCCTCTTTTTCAGGCCTTTATGGCACGTGCTACACAGACAGTGAAATTGACAAGGTTTTACTTATGATTACAGCAGAGCCCAGATTTTCAAAATGTAAAGTGGTGGGAACATTTTTTAGCTATGGGCTCTTTACCATACCATTCTTTTTGTTGGGCAATTTTCGTTTTGACCACAAGAGATAAGCAACTTTGTATTTTCCGGTTACAATCGATAATCGCGAAAAATTGTCAAATTTTTTCTAGTGATATAGCTAGCCTCTTCAGTCACAATTTGATTGCTTTGAATGAAATTACAAACATGTTTTCTTTCTGAGTGTCGAGAAAATCCGGTGGAAATTTTGCTTTTCAGTCCAATTCAAGCAAACAAAGCCAGCAAATAGCTTTTGTTGATATTAACTAAAACGCTGTTAACCAGGGGCGGATCTAGGATTTTCTCGAGGGGGGGGCGGATTTTCAAAAAATTTTCCAAAATTAATTTTGACGACCTTTTTTTTTTTTTTAGGTCGACCAAATTGATTTTTTGAGCTCTACCATTTCTACCAAAGTACTGTTTTGCCCCTATTTAGGCAAAATTTTCTGCGCCGCAGGCAAATTTTTGAAAAAACAGTCAAAAAAGCCGTTTTTGGGCACTTTTTGAAAAATTTTGACAAAAAAATCGCGTTTTTTTGGCGCGCGCTCACCCTCAAAGTTAGTATATATTGGCGCCGAAGGCGCCTTTAGAAAAATTTAAGGGTCGGTCGGCCAAAAATGGATTTCTGAAAAAGTATCAAAGGGGGGACCCTTTGGGTCGGCAGGGGGTCGAATCCCTGAGGGGGGGGGGGGCGTCCGCCCCCCCGCCCCCCCCCCCTAAATCCGCCCCTGCTGTTAACTAAGCTACAAAAAACAAAAACGTTGACTATAGAAAACTAGCTATAAAAATGGCATTGTTTTTGTTGTAAAAAAAAAAATCTGAAACTGTGTTTTGAATTTTGTGCAGCAAAAGTGATTGTTGTCAATAAAAACCGTTATCAGTGTTCCAAGCTTACTTCTAGTTTCTGATCCCCCCACAGCGCAGAAAAAAAATACACCAACAACTCACAAACTAATTGAAAACAACAAAAAAGTAGGTCGAAAAATTGTGGTAAGAGCCTTCTGTTAATTCTCGTAAGAGCAACAAGCATGTCACGATTGTGTTAAAAACAAACTTTATCTAGTCCGACCGTCAAAAAATGGCTTGCGGGTTAATTAACTAAGTGCGAACAAATTGATTTTCTTTTACAACAATTGAATTACTAACAAGGTTGCTGTGCTTGTAGCTCAGAAATTTAAAAAAAAACAGAATTTTTTAAAAACCGTGTTGATTTTTGTTCAAGATGTGATGAGAGGATCTGAACAAAAGCCTAAAATTTAGGCACATTTGGTAGTAATAGTAAATTAGGCACGTTTGACTACAGTTTGCTTATATCAAAAACAGAATTAAAATAAAAAAACTAAACACTCAAATAACCGCCGAACAAGCCTTTTTGGTCCAAACATTTTAGAAAATCTAACCAAAAACGGTGTTTTGGCCAACTGTTTCAAAACTTGCCTGTGTCAATTATGAATTTTGATTTTTTTTTAAAAACCTCTCCTCTCCCATTTTGGAAAAATTTTGGACCCCTGCCTATAAATGATTATGATTTGTTTGGTCAGACACACACTTCAGATTATGGGCATCCAGGATTTACGCGAAGCTGTGTGAAACTTCGCGTAAATCCTGGATTTGAAACTCAAGTCATCTTTAACTTAAGTCATCCGGCATTTTTAAGTCATATGCAAAAAACAGCTCATTATTAACGCTTGTCTGATCTTTTGCATTATCGGTTCCCATGAAACTAAAATAACAATGCCGAGGGTCAATTATTTTTTTTCCTACAAGGCTGGGGGAGCTACAATGTTTAAACTGTCTCTTGCCTATCTTGTGGTATAACTCTGGCATTTGTGTCTCTGTGGCGTGTCTGTGGAACATGTGGTATTCCAGCTGGTCGCACAAAGGGGGCACGAGGTTGAACTGTCTGGCAACACAGAATGCCTCCATGATCTCACTCCCACTCCACTTGCATGTTCCCCAGTAGAAGGCCCTCCCTCGCTCTATCAGCCACGAGAACCCACGTACTATCTCTACATACAACATATACTACCTTATGAGTGCGGACCAGTTAGCACACCAGACGATAGGCCTTCGAGTAGTACATTATTTTAGGTTACTGACTCATTTGGAAGAACTTGTTTCAACCTACCGCGGAGACTTTACAACAAATTTGAAAGAATTTCAATGAAAGTTTTGTTTGCTGGCTTTTTTTTGTGTTCAGACGAGCGAGAAGGTGACACGACTTTTTAAGTTTTCATGATATGTTTTAAACACCAATTCGGTTTCAAGAAAAAACAAAAATTTAAGAAAAAAATAGAATCTTTTTCACACTAGTCGACGAATTTATCAACTTTAGAAATAATTGAAATCATCTTAAATTGTATTATTCACTGCGGCGCAGGAAGTTTCATTAAAATAGGGTCCTTATAGTATTTTCGGAGGGCTCGGGAAAAAAACCATCCCCCTAGAAAAGTTTCTGCGCACGCCACTAAATTCACATTTCAATCTCATATCAGTACAAGTTCAATGATTGAGTAAAACACCGAGCGGACAACATCAGTCTCGTCAGCCCACCCTTAAAAAATGTTTGCTCATTTTAGTAATAGTTATATCCATGTAAACGCAGAAAAATAACATAGGGCGTACATCGTAATTTTCTAAAACGGGTAGGTACTAGTTTACTTGCTTGATCCCACAAAAATGCTGTGGTCCCTAATAAAAACAAAGGTACAGGAGGCGGTTAATTCTAAAAATTAGCATCCTAATTTCTCTTTGTTGCTGCCGAAACGGGCCTAGATAACATAGCGCGTACGAATTCGATTACCGACCCCGCGGGATAGGTTCGAAGCGTGTGCTGGCTTTTCCTTTTAGAATATAGGCGGGACCAATCATCTTAACTAGTTTTGGCACGGGACCAAACGAGTAAACTAGTAACAATAGGGTTGATAAATCATAACTTCAGCTTTGACAATCATAACTGAATGGGCGAATGGTTTTCGCTTAGGAAAGTAATTCAAACTTTTTTCGCTATTGTAGGTAACTATTTGGGCCAATAAGGCCATAATTACTGTTTGGTTAACGTCACAAAACGGACATGGCATAAAGTCGACATGTTGTAAGCCAATTAGAATAAAAAACATTTCGTACATTTGTTTTCTTATCTCGATCGTCTGTGACTTACGACTTTTCTAGCTTATGACACTCGCTTGAGATTCGTTTAGAACTTCTCTACTTTATGGTACATCTGTTTTTTGACCACACTCTTTACTAATGCCTATTTCGCAATGCATTGAAAAACTGTTAAATCTACTCTCAAAGGCAGATACCGAAAACAGCGACTGAACCATAACAAGACTACTCGTATCAGGGCAAAGCCCTGAATGTTCCGACTGCCTTTTAAGGGTTTTATGGAGCATTAATAACATTAAAAAATTAATTATATTAAAATAAAACAAAAAAAAATTTCTAAAATTTAATTTTTTTTATGAAAAGCATCCCCCCTCATGCCATATAAAGTAGAAAAGGAAAGATTTCATTCCTTGTAACAAATCAATTATGGCAAATAAACTTCTTTCAACCAATTTGGAACAATTTTAAGACGGATTAACTCTCTGCTTACGCGTTAATAGCGCGAAATATATCCCGCGTTAATTGTCCCAAATTGGCCAAAATGGCAATCGTTAAACCCCCAGAACTTTACGAAGAATGATCACAGGTGAAATATTTTTTCAAATTTGAGCTCAGGGCAACAATACCTTTTGAATGATATAAAAAAATTCCGTCAAAAAAGGCTAGTTAAAAAGTCGAAATTTGTCTGAAGAAAAAAAAACCCACCCCGAGCACAAATATTCCGTTACTTTCGTATCGAAAGTCGGAACAATAATGCGCAAATAAAAAAGTAGTTAGTTGAAGACGACAAATTGACAAAAGGTGCTTTGTGGTAAAGTAGCAAAAATCTAGATTTATTTGGGCACAGCTTTTCGTTTAACCTAACTACCAATTGCTTTTATACTGTTTATCACATAGCCTTTGTAAAACAAAAGCTGCTATTACTGTCGGATCACAAAGTGAAAGGAAAAAAGTTGAATTATAATTTTTGAATTGAGTTGAAATAAAATCATTGAAAAAAAATCATAAACTTTTCTGTTTCAATTTGAGCTTAAAAAGATTAAAACCGTTCAAGCTAAATTTAAGTTATTTTCCACTAAATCTTGTTAAAATAAATATCAGTAAATCTGAATGTTCCAAGACTGATAATTTGATCTAACATTAACGTTCTGATTTTGGTCAGGAGTATTTGGGAAATCCGATTACAAAGGTTTGGCAACCTCGGTAATTTTTTGTAAACTTTTCCAAAAATGAACCGTTCGAAAAGAAAAATCGTTCTTTACAGTTCTTTACGAATCAAGAGATATTTGTAAAAACCATTAATATTGTAAATCATTTTCTTCTGAAAATTCACTTAATAACGCATGGACGCGAAAAAATCAACGCGCAAAACTCATTCTGATTTCGATCGAGGTAGTTTAAAGGGTCGGATTTTCGAATTTTTGAACTACAGCATTTTATTTCAATGCATTTTTGTCGATTGCGTTGTAAGTTAAAATTGACGGGAAAAAATCAAATGTTCATAACATTGTCAACCTAAATTAAAATAATTGAGATAAAAACACAATTATAAGAAAAGATGTTTTGCACCAGCTACCATATTGATATGTTTTAACATTAATCTGTAAGCATTGGAAGATTTCAAAATTAAATTGCAGCAAATTATATGATTTGTTTATTTCCATTTATCCGGAAAAAAAACAAGAAAAAAATTTAAAGTTACGAGAAAAAGGGTTTTAGAAAAAAATATCTGAGAACAAAAGGGTCTTTTAACAATTCTTTTTACAACAAACATTTTTGTATCATATATTCAGCAAAGTTTTGTAGATCATAAATTTTTAGAACCAATCTTTTTTACTTTCAGAACAAGCCTTTAATAGATCATATTCGCAGAATTACTATTTTTGGAAAAAATTTGCTACGCCTAGTGATTATTTCGAAGCTGAAAAGGCTATTGAGAAGCAAGTTAGCCTGCCACATAAAATGACCGCAATTATTTGAGTTTTCTTGAGACCTTATTTTTCGGTGATCATCGATGGTGAGGATTGATCTTGCGGATTTGAGTGTATATTTTATAAAAAAACAAGATCTTAACAGTTGCTATTTCACAATTTGAAGAAAACACAAAAAGTGAAAGCGAGATACAAAAAATAGTTTAAAGTCGAATTTAAGAACTTGGTTATATAGAGAGCCCCGAACAAGAGCACTGTTTTTTTCTGCTTTATTAAGCAAATTTAAGTACTTCAAAAATAACTCAGATTTAGCAAAAAAATGGATCCCATTGAGACTTTTTTTCCGATGATGAAAATTTTCTCCTCCTTATATTACAAATGTTTGGTCAGTATGCTTTTAAGGCGTGTTATAATTGCTTTTCAAGAAAAACTCCCGTAAAATTTTCGTAATAATTAACTGAAAAATATTGTTTTTCGATAATTTTGCAATGATAGCTGTGGTTATTATTTGTCCAGTATTTTTGAAAACAAACAGCTTCTCAGTCCGCAAAAAAAAATCATTTTCTCTTTAAAAAATGAATGATTTGAAAACATCGATGTCTTTACCTTCCATAGGCGTGTTCACGTCTGATTTATTGGCATAAACAATGTCCACGTAATCCAGCTGAAGCCTTGACAAGGAAGCTTCGAGACCTTGAAAATAAAACCAAAATCAAAAACTCAAAAACATTTAAAACAATTTTTTCTTTCCGAAATTTTTCAAAATCTTTGTGACCTTCAATGATGTGTTTTCTGGACAGGCCGCATTCAGTTATTGATCTGAAATTTCCTATAACTATGTATTTGGTTTCAAGAAACAAATTATTTGAAAGTAAGTTCTTCTTCTCACTTTCCGCCCCAGTAGAGTTTCGTTGCAATCACGTATGAACTCCGTCTGAAAGCAGCAATAAACTGATACCTTATAACAGATTTATGTTTAAAAAAATAACTCATTTTCATGTTTTTGGGAGCCTGGTTTTCATCAAAAACTAAAACAACCATTTTGATCCGACCATTGAAAACTAGGAGAAACTTTCAATTCGGGTGTGTTGTAGTTTTTTTTGTTTTCCACATGAAATCAGGTACCACAAATAATTTTCAAAATGGGTTAAGTGAGATATCATATTGATACATTTTCAGCCGTTTTCGAACGAACTTTAAAACATTCAAAAAACTCTCCCGGTGTCGAGAAAAACCTGTTTGAAATGTTTGAGTTTCAATCTAGTTTCGAGCGAGTAAAGCGATCGAGTAGCGTTCGTTATCTGAAAATGTAAGCTTAGAAAAATTGATTTTACTCAAACGAAAACTATTTAGCGCTTCTTAGGCAAAATTTTAGAAAAGAGTTAACTTAAGCACCCGAATCCAAAATTCCTCTACGTTTTCAATGGTCGGAACAAAAAGAATTTGTTTCTGAATCATTAGTTGATTGACTAGTTAAATACGTTTAATATTAATTAACGTATAGAACATAACTAGAGGCAGATCTTTAAGTGATGTTTTATTGCACTTCTTTGTAAGTTTTAGAGTTGGTCGGTAAAAAGGATATGTCATTAAATAGTATCAAAATGGGATCCTTTGTTGTTTGTTCAGGGGGCCGAATCCCTCAAAGATGGGCGTTCTCCTCCCTATATCAGCTATTGATTATAACCTTAGCTTTTTTGGCGTAACTCAATTCACTACATATTCGTTTCAAGCTCTTAAATGGTCAAAAATTTTAAGAGATCAGACGGTTTGATGATTATAATTTCATTGGGTCATTTCTCGGCATTGATAATATTTTAAGAATTTTTAGCGTTCCCAACCACGACAAAGCAAGTTAAACTATGATATGTATCGTTCCTAAATTTCAAACACGCGGCTTTAAAGAATCTAAATTAGCTTGCAGTAAAGTTGCTGTAAAATAACTAGAACACAGCAAAACCTTCTCAACTTCGGTGAGCGAACTAAAAACGAAATCAAATTATGACCTCAACTTGAACCATTGTTTGCATTTTGTGATTATCTGCCATTTTGATAACATCATGAATTATTTGGTTCGAACTCTAAATTAATTTCAGATGAAAACGTATATTGTTCGAAGTTTGTTCCAAGCTGTTATTTTCTTCAAACTCGTTGCCCGTTTCCCCATAAATATGAACTCTCCGACTAAAAGTTTTATAGAGTTTTTGATATGTTTGGCGTTTATTTTGAGCAATTCAAATGTATTAGGTCAAATACGCTTCAACGAAGAGCCTCCTCTTAGTGCAATAGCTCATGGCATTCACGTCAAATGGGATCATTACAATCCCGACCCGAATACGAATCCTTTTGCGCGGCGTCGGAGTCCATTCGTGCCTAGCCCGAGCCGGCTTTCACGCGGCAGTTCGGGACGACTTCTATCATGTGACTTTCAGACGAATTGTGACATCATTTGTGAGAAGTCAATGCCAGATTTTGTGCTGCGGACTAACCCAAACTGTGTCGCTGATGGAATATGCACAAATCATTACTGCCAGTGTCACTGTTTATAACTTCTATTGACTTGAAATTTACTTTTAATATTTCTTTTCATTTTTCTTCATCTAGTTTTTTAATGTTTCTTCACGTAAAAACTAGATAAAGACTGGAAGATACGTTTAATTAAACAAAATTGCTCGTATCAGGGTAATGCCTTGAAAGCTCCCACTGCTTTTAACGTCTATAGAGTAAAGTTTGACTCAAAAAATGCAGAGTTATAAGCGAGTTGGATTTTTTAAGCAAAAAGTTTTTTTCTAAATCAGAATCGACTGTCTCCGTTTAAAACACAATTGATTTTTACCAAACAAAAAAAACTAAATTAGCCCAATTAGCTTGCTTTAAACCAAAATGAAATAATTTGTGAGCGATAAATATCCACCTATGTGTAACCAACACGAAATGGCTCTTTCCAATTTGCGCCGCTTTTACTTTTTTCTATTTTCTTACTTTTCTGTTTCAGAACTAAGCAAAAGTTTCTCAAATTTGGTGATTAAAAAGATCAAAATATGAATGTTTGATTCATGTTCAGAACTATTTCCAGATAAAAATTTATTGATCGAAGTTTGTTTCAAATTGTTATACACATAAACTTGCTGCCCGTTGTCCCATGCATATTAACATTCCGAATAAAACTATTCTAGAAATTTCGCTTTTTGGTTATTATTTTAAGCGATTCAAGCGTATTGAGTCAAAGACGCATATACAAAAAGCATCCTTCTTATTCAATGGCCCATGATGTTCACGCCAAATGATGGAATCATTACAAACCCGACTCAGATATAAATCATTTTGCGCATCGTCGGAGTCCCTTCGTGTCAAATCTGAGTCGGCTCTCAAGTGGCACTTCGAGCCGAGTTTTATCTTTGAAAGCAGCATGTTTTTTTTATAATCATTTCTCACCAAAAGTTATTGGATTTGAGTGTCACTAAAAGTTAGAAATTAAAAAAAATTGGTTTGCTAGAAAAAGAAAAACAAAAAAAATAGAAGAAAGGAATTTTTGTGAAAAATTACGCAAAGAAACCACTAATATGAGAAAATTGAATTTAAATTACTTTTGAGACTGACTTATTTGAATTAACAAAGTTTATGAAAGTATCGTAAGCTTCCTCACTTATATTTCAGTAGCTGGTGACGTAATCGCTCCCTGAAAACAACAGTTTGTAGGACAAATTGAGCAAAAAACCAGCCGAAGATCAACGTTTAACGGCTAATCTAGAATTTTATCGAAAATGTGGAGTACTTACAAAAATTTTGAAAAAAAAACTAATTCGAGAACTGCAAAAAAGTCTTCATTTGACAATTTTTGCAATTGTAGAAGAACATTAGGATGATCAATGCAAGATTAACAGTCAGAGCAGCAAATTCGTAGCTTAGAATTTTTGGAGAAAAGTTTTGCAAAATTTAAAAGTGACAAGAACTTCATCAAACAAACCCGCAGAAAATGTACATTGAAAAAACAATGGTAACTCTTCAATTTTGCTTTTGAAAACCAAATGACGGGTGATAAATTTTCAAGGTGGTTTAAAATCTGACGAACCAAATTTTGAAAATCAATTTTGTTTTCAGTGAATTTATGTTTCAAAATTAAATTGAACCGATAAAATAAATTCACAAAAATGAGTTGCAATTTTAATTATTTTTCTTATTTGTTATTTTTTTTCATATCGGAGCTCAACTGCCTTCGCCTATTAACGATTCAATTTTTATAGAAAAAAAACCACGCTCAAAAGCTGCGTCACATTTGAAAAACTCGGAAAGCAAAATGAATAGTGATTTTAACCATACGCTTTTTATAGGAAAATGATTTTAACCAGAAACATAAAACAGCCTAATTAGCTTGCTTTCCGTAAATCAAAATTAAACAATTTTTGATACAAGAAATTTCCACCTGTGCGCTAACAACACGATATGGTTCTTTTTTCAATTTGTCCCGCAATCACTTTTTCTCTTTTCTTTCTTGTCTATATCACAACCCAACAAAAATTTCTCAAACTCAGTGTTAAAAAAGATAAAAATTCGAATTTTGTTTCAACAATTGTTAGTATTTTGTAAACAATTAAAAAATTTCATAGCATTATAAACTGTTTGATTCATGCTCCGAATTATTTCCAGATAAAAAATTTATTGATTGAAGTTTGTTCCAAAAAGTCTTACATTTAAACTTGCTGCCCGTGGTTCCATGTATATAATATTTTTCCGACTAAAATTATTATAAAATTTTTGTTTGGCTCTTATTTTAATGGACTCAAACGTATTGAATCAAACATGCGTTTAGGTAACGCCTCCTATGAGCGGAAAAACCTATGATCTTCACGTCAAGCAAAAATTCCCTCGCCCAATAATTGTCATAGTTTTTTGTCAGAAAAAAAACCACGCACAAAAACAGCGTCATCAAAAAATCCAAAAGAAGCATGTAGTTCTTAAACATGGGGAACAACAGCGGTTTGCCGTGATGAGCTGTACAGCTCTTGTGTTGGTCCTTTCCCCCGTGGATAAATGGTCTTAAAAAAGCAAAACAAATAGCTCTTTCATAAGTTATTTTTTAAAAATACTTTGGAGACTAAGTATATGCAAAAATGATCTTTAGTATTGACAGCTATCATTGACAATTTTCAATCTTGATTAAAATTTAAAGATTTCTACCTTTTTTAGAAAACTAATTGTAATTCTGACAAAACAGCAGCAAAAGTTTACGTTTAAAACTTTTTGAACAGTTTTTTTGAAATTTTTGATACTTCAATAAAAGATAAAAGTTACAAAAAATTCAAAATTCTTTAAGTTTCTCTGAGAAAAAAAATTGTATAATTTTTCTTGAGTGATCATCAGCCAGTAACAAGCCTGACAGTCTTTTAAATACAAAATTTGGTGGTCAATATGCAAGCAGCACAGATTGTTTTGATCATTTTTCGAGGTTTAGTCTTCAGCTAATAATTTTAGATTTTTTATATTACTTTCTAAAACAAGTTAAAAGAAAACAAGAACTATCAGCTCTTTGTTAAATTTGAGCCTGACTAGCAAAATTTTCAGACAAAAGTTTGTTTTTTACCTTCAATTTGATGGCATTTTGATATGGTGTGAGAAATATCGCGAAGAAAATCTCTTGAAGAGAACTTAAAACCTAATCACCTGCATGTTTTCTGTGAAATAATATCAAAAAAAATCTTGCAAATATTCTAAGTGACGATACTTTTATCGAACATCCGCAAACAGATATATATTGAAAAAAAAACATCGATGAGCTATTTTTTCATACAACTCACTGTTGTTTTACTATTAAAAATGCAAGCTAATTTTTTTCGAGGCTGAATTAACTCGACATTGAAATTTTTGATACTTCAATGAAAGGTAAAAACTAAAAAAGAATCCAAAAGTTCTTGAGCTTTATCTGACTAAAAAAATGGTTTAATGTTTTTTTTGTGTGATAATCAGCCAGCAACAAACCTGTAAGTTTTTCAAAAAACAGAATAGGCGGCCACTGTGCGAGTAGCGCAGATTGATCTGATCGAGGTTTAACTAAAGTCTTCACCCAATAAACTTTCATGTTTTAGTACCCTTCAAAGCATGAAAAAAGTTTTATTTCAATACCTTTTTAAAATGATTTACAGTTCGCCAAAAAAAAACAGTTCCCACTAAATTGGCCGCTGTTTGCTACATTTGAGTCTGAATAGCAAAAATTTCTTGCAAAATATCGTTTTAATCTTTTTTTTTCGATAGCATTCTGATGCGTTTGAAAAACAAATCACGGGTGGAAACGCAATAATGTTACACAAAATATAATCCCCAACAAGTTTTTTTTGAAACCTTCAAATTATCTATCAAACATCCAAAAATAGCACAAAAATGGCTCCAGTAAATCTTTTTCATGTATAAAGTATCTCAAATTCTCCGATTATATCAGAAGGGCGGCTGCAATCTCTTCAACAGGATTCATTAAGGTAAAAAATTATTTGCCAACGAGGACCTAAAAAACTTTGTCAACACAAACCAGCTCAATTTTGAAATAATTATCAGCTTCAAAAAGCTCGAGCGTTAGTTTTTTCTTTAAATCTCGATCGATTTTGATGAAATTTGAACTCTTCGTTTGTTGATATTTTATTGCCAATCCTTATTTATGTTCAGCCACAATTTAGGACAATCAAATACTTCATTTGAACTAGTTTCAAAGTTCGTAATTTAAGCTTAAAAGGCAAAATAGTGAAAAAGAAAAGTTGATCTTTCTCAATTTACAAAACATAGACAATTCATCTAACTTTATAGTCATGAATTGTGGTTCATTTTATTTTAGGCTATATTTTATGATCATTTTGCACTTCGGAGCTCAAATTTCTTACTCCAGGCGTATTCTCAATGAAGAAACCAGACAATTAACAACAACAACACTGCCTTCGCCCAGTTTTGTTCCAATTCCTGACGAGAGGCGAGAACCACATACGAATCCGTTTGCATTTAGACCGCCAAGATATGTCCCCAGACCGAGTAGATTCTCAGATCGGGACGGAAGGGGTTGCTTTTGAACTGTGTTCATGCCTATTTTGTTATAACAGAACTCATAATTGAATGATGCTTTAAATTAAATATAAAGTATAAAATATGACTAGAGTTCAGTACAAATGAGGATTTACAAAATTTGGGTCTATTCTGTTACAGGCCCGTTTTATCAAATTTTTGAATATCCGGAATTTTCACTGAAACTAATTTGAACTAATCAGGTTTGAGCGTTATGGTTCAGTGAAAACAGTTTGAAAAAAGAGCAGCTCTGGGACGTATAACAGAAAATGCCCCAAAACTTATAGGTTATAATTTTAAATCAGGCAAATATAAATTCCGTGCTCTTTTTAAACACAGAGTAGACCAAACCTACATATTATGCTTTCTGTTCGGGAAAACATGATAACGTTTAAAAGAATTTTATACAAATTTAGATGCAAGCACTTTACCTAAAGGTAGAGTTCAACTTAACTCTTTTGCAATTGGCAAAGTAAACACTTAAATTGGATCCCATGTACACCAAAATTCTGTTTTAAAACAAATTCCTCGATTTTTTTTAGGTAGTTTGTTGTAGTATTCCATTTTTCAAGCTTTGCTTTAAGAGCTTGCCTCAAAAATGTGCAAAAAAAATCAAACTTCGTGTCATTTGCAAAAAACCAAAATTCGTGTCAGGGGCTGATCTAAGATTTTCATAAAAACGGTTTGAACATAAAAAACTTAAAATTTTGTTAGGGCCAAATAAAATAAGTTCGTATAAAAATTGTGATGAACATTGTGAGGTTAACAGTCAAAGCAGAAACGTCTAACAGAAAAACGCAGAAAAAAAAGTTTTGCAAAAAGTGGTACTATACATCTCACATGTGTTTTACTAAAAACGACCGCTCTTTGCTAAACTATACGACCGATAAAATTTGTTTCAAAAAAGGAGCCGAAATTCTCGAACAAAAAGAGGAGTAAAAACGCTCGGGGTGGTTTTTTTGACACCATTTTCATAAAACTATTTGCTCCCTCGGTTGATCGATACTATTATTTGCATGGGCCCAACTGGTTGTGCGCGCCATTAGTATCCTGCCACGAGTCTGTCTAAACTGCTCGTTTTATGTTTTATTCATGGCAAATTAACCCGCACTGCATTGAAATGAGGTAATAAACTAATCGATTTTTTTTTAAATTCTATACACGACTTAAAAATTAACACTCAAAACTTCATATTATTAGATAAAGTTTTGCCAAATTTTAGTTTACCAAAAGCTATTCAGGACCAATTAAAGAGCATTCGGAACATTGAGGGTTTTGCTTTGATACGAGCAGTCTTGTTTTTGCATTTAGTCCGGTTTTTAGTTTGCAAATTGGATCAAAATTGCTAATGAAAGCAAAATATTTAAAACATAAACAAGCCAATTCTCATCAGAAATTTTGCCTTCGCGCCGATTTTTGTATAAAAACCCACAGTTTAATTGACAACATAATTTGAAATTGTTAAATACAACTGATTCGATTATTTGAAAATTGATGGTTAGTAAGCAAATTGACCAAAAAATTTGAATCAATGATTCCATGGGATGCTTTTCAGTTTTGTTTCATGATTTTGAAAAACCCGAGCTTTATAATTGGGACCGTATTGGTCCTAACAGTTTTTTTCTAGCTTCCCATTTTGTATTCTTTATTGAGGCATATTTTACTTAAAAAAATTTACTAGGAAGCAATTATTTTGAACCAAAAAGTGTCGCTTGGTCAGTTTAACTGATCTGGCTGCTTTTAAAAGCCAATTGTTGTGCATAAAATGTTCCGACCAACAAAATCAACAAAAAAAAATTCTTTAATTTTCTTTTCCAAGTTAGTGTCGTTTTTAGTAGGTGACATGATTCAGGAGATGTGCAATTGGAAGCATAGTGAATTAGTACTCAAAGGTTTTTGTCTTTGAAAAAAAAATGTTTTCAAAAATAAATAAAAAACTAAAAACTAAAATAATTTTTCTTGATTTTCATAGAATTTTTTTTTGACAAATTAATGCTGTTTAAATGATCCAAAATAGTTTATTCTATAGTAAATTTATTTTTCAACTCTAGAAGTCTATAAAGTAGTAAGTTTTCATATAACGCGCGTTTCTAGATTGCATTACTGGTTCGGAATTAGACTAAATCTAAGAAAAAAATTCAGACAGTTTTTCTTGACCTTGGGACAATTTTTGATAATTTCTTATTGTCGTTCAAATGCCGACTGAAATGCCCCAACATCATAAACCAACCGACTCATTCCGATGACTAATTGTGTTTCCTGATTTTGCGTAGTAGAAAACAAAATGAGAAAAAACTAAAATACACTCACATACCGAGTTTCTCTCCCTTTTCAATTGTCGGAAGAATGAGACGAAAAACTGGCACAAATTTATCCGGCCGAAAAAATTTATCTGGCGTCAAAAATGGACCGAGTAGTTTAATAAGATATTACTCTTTGAGTTAGTCCGCCTGAACATAACTAATCTGGCGCGACAAAAAAAATCTTGGAAATACCATAAAATTAATAACCAAGATTCAAAAAAATTGATTTTAAACGTCCCCATCCCATGACAAGGAAGCGCTAAATGAAGCTTCCAAAATTAGTTCTGGAATATTGTTGAAATTTACGCTTCCTAAAATAAATATTTTTATGAGATCTACTCACTTCTCTTAAAATTTGTTGAGCTACGTGAGGGGCTCACTTTGACATAGTTATATCGGTGATCAACTGGTTATTTTTGGCGTAATTTTTGATTAAATAAGAAAAGCCAAAATGACCCATTTTTAGGTAAAATTTTGGACCCCAATTTCGCAAAACAAATTATACCATATTAATTCTTTTAAAATTTTAAGCAAGTTTTGTTTTCACGAGTTTTCACTTAAACTCAACCCAATTTGAGAAAAACGCGTTTTAAGTTTCAAGTTTTGTCCGGTTAATTTAAATCAGCACTGTAGTGGAATCTTATTGACTAAAATGACTACTAAAATGACCACTTATTGACTATTCGGACCCTCTGCTACTCTCCTTGTTGAACTATACAATAATTTTCTTTATAGAGAAATTAAGCTTACCTCCATCCACTGCGCTTCAAAATGTCTCCGAGGACTCTTTCAGCTCTAAAATAAATATTTGATCTAAATTTAATTTTGAAGCAATTTTTTCGGCGACTAACAAGGATTTTGATTCACAGCAATAAATATTTATTTGTATCACATCAAAAAAAAATAGAAGCGAATATTCATACACGGCTAAAAAATTATGTCTAGACATCGTTTTCGGACGCAAACTTGCATATATTGGCAGGATTTAAAGTTGCGACAACATTGACTCAGAACAGAGACTAAAGTTCGAGAACTGGGTCGCAAAAGTCTGGGCGTTTTCAATGCATGTCGCCAAAGTCTAGACATAAAGCCGCAAAAGTCTCACATGAGTCCCAAAAATCTTGACATAAAGTCGCAAAAGTCTGGAAAGTCTTAAAAATCTGTACAATATGTTGCGAGTTTGTGGAAGTTATTTTGCGACCATGCTTTCTTTGGCGCAACTTTCAAAGTCTTGAAAAAACTCTAAATCGTTTTTTAAACAATGGTTTTAAAGAAATTATTTTTTTAAAAAGGTTTCAGAAGAGATATCCAAAACTAAAAAAAAATACTGAAAAAAAAATGAATTTATCATCTTTCACGTGTGCCAGAGGTTTTTTAGTAGGTAACAATTTTTCAGAAAATTTTTCCTGAATGAGTGTTAAGTGTTTTCAGGCTTATAATCAAGCAAGTACAACATGACGCAATCTTAAGCCTGAGAGGACGGCATTAGACCGAGTAGTCAGTTTTCGAAAAAAAAAATAGACAAAAAACATCCAAATTAACTAGGCTGGGTCTTAGTAGGAAAATCGTACTTTTTTGACACAAACTTTTCTAGAAATTTTCCACTTGCAGGAGAATTGAGTCTACAATTGTGTGGCTAAGAATGATATCCTTCATTGTAAAATGGAACAACTTTTGCTAAATTGACGCATTCTCTGAAAATTGAATTTTTTTAATCAATTAAATGAGTGCAGGAGTTTTGGATCGATTTAGTGGTTTTAGACAAAAAGTTGTTTAAATTAAATCTAATTTTGCTGTATTAAAGTTTTAAGTCTATCAACCTCTGTTACTCATACAGGTAAAATGGCAAGAGTGTCTGTATAAAACAGTCCCATACAAAACAGGTCCAATACAAAACAATGCCGAAAACTATGAAAATGAACAAAAAACAGTCCGATACAAAACATTCCGGAAAACAGTCCCAAGTAATAATTGTTTTAACGAGCCGGTAGACCGAGAATTGTCCTTTGTTAAACAAACGTAAAGACTAAAATAGTGACCGCTGCAGTCGCGCCAACGTCTTGCGAGCTTGCCAACAGAGTGTAGGACTTAATACGAAATTTAGAGCCGGTTATCGCCTTAAACCGGTGGACCTTAAGCCTATGATTTCAATTTCTGTTTCATTGATTTAGTTTACATTGCGCCTGTTTTTCGTTTTAGCAAGCTTTTCCACTTAATGTTGACAAAAAATTTAGAATTATTTTTCACCAATGAATCTCGATCTTGCGCTATTTATCAGTTTTGTTTCCACTTTTCACTTAAAATTTTTTAAAAAAGCAATATTTTGCCGTCTTTGTTGATACAATTACAGTTTTTGTTTCAGTGAATGTTTTTCTTAACCAAAAATGTCTGATTGTTTTCTATCATTTAGAGTTTAAACTTGGTTATAAATCCAAGTCGTTTTTTCAGGTTGATTGCCGTTTTCTTGAGAAGGAGCTAGTACAAATTAGAAACTCGTAAAAATCCATCTTTGGCGTTGAGTCTCGTGTTTAAAGCTACTGTGTATGCTTCTCCATAGAGCTGATGTGCTAAAAAGCCTCAAGTCCAATTCCAATAAACTTTCGAGTTTTAATAAATTTTTTTGATAAATTATTCTATTTTAATTGAGAGTTAACGGAATTGATTTATATAGCCTAAAGAAGTACAACAAGGTCTTCCACGTGAGACTTTTGGACATCTAGCGTTTTATAATCAACTGAACTAGGGGGTTTTTACAGCTTATTTGCCAAATCTCCACAATGTCTTCTAATTATTCAATGGTGGTTTTTTGAATATTGCTGTATTTTGTTTTGCAGATTTTTTTGAATAAATTTTTTACTCAGAAATACACCATGATATCCGATATTTTAAACCAGAGCTCTCTAATTGAAAACTATATTGAGCATTTTTGTTGTCAAACGCAGGAAAAGTTATAAGTATGTTCAACCATTCAGACCAATTTTATCGCAGATTCTTTCGAAATCTGTTTAACAATTTGAAAAAAGCAACAAGACTGCTCGTATATCAGGGCAAAACCCTGAATGTTCCGACTCGACGGTCCCTTAATTTATATCAAATAGTTTTTGGAAAAAAAAATATTGAAAACCTATACATTTTAGACAATATCAAAGTGTTAATTTTTGAGTCGTACGAAATTAATACGAACAATAAGCTAGCCTCAATTCAATTGTGTTGTGCGGGATAATTCACCAGGCATAAATAATTCGCGTTACACTCTCAGAGTTATGAAGAAACTCTTCAAAGCGCGGATAATATAGTCCAGAACATGGCCAATTTGGCAATTTTCAACCCCCAGATTTTTACAAGAAAGAATCGAAGGTGAAATATCTTCTTACATTTGAAATCAAGAAGTCGATATTTTCAATGGGGTATAAAATTTTTTTTTTGAAAATTGTTATTTCGATCGGTGGAAATTGACTGAATAAAAAAACCATACCGAGCATTAATATTCCGTTTTCTTCGAAAGTGGGAACAACAATGATTAGTCACATTGAAGCATTTTTTTCAGAGCCAGAGTTCTTAAAATGATTTTTAGTTGCTGGACAAAAAATATTCGATATCTACTGTGAAAAAGAAAACGAGACCCTTTTAGCTTAGAAAAACAGTCCCGTCATTTTTAATGAGTGCTTTCGACAACATTGCTTAAGCGTGAAGTCACTTTAGAATACTCAATATTTCTTTCAAGTACTTTGAATACATTTGTTAATTAACGCCATTCCAAAAGTTTTGATTTTAAAAAAAGTATTCAAATAATCAACACTCTAGCAAAATTTGGAAGAAACCAAAATATTCTGAAGACAAAAAAAACGTGATCAAAAAACGTGATCAAAAAACTGCTAGTGTTAACCTTGTTATGACTCAATTGAAACTAGGAAAAAGAAGCAAATAGTTCGATGACCAGTAGCGGATTTAGGGGGGACGGACCATCCCACTCAGGAATTCGACCCCCTGCCGTCCCAAAGGGACCACCTTTGAACTATTTTGAGATATCAATTTTTGGTTCCAATATAAATGTACCTTTTTGATGGGGGAGCGCGCCGAAAAAACGCGATTTTTTGGTAGAAATTTTCCAAAAATTGCATTAAAACATTTTTTTTGGCCTGTTTTTTGTAAAAGTTGCCTGTGGCGCAGACAATTTGGTCAATCTAAGGTCTTTATAGTGATTTTGAAGGGCTCAGAAAATCAATTTGGTCCATCTAAAAAAAGTTGAGAAAAAGTTCCCCGTCCCCCTCCCCCCTCGAGAAATTCCTAGATCCGCGCCTGTCGATGACTATTCATGTGGCAAAGAACAGTCAGAAATTTTAGAATTGCCTTTAATCATTTTTAAAGTAGTTTTCACATTGGTTTTACGTTTATAAACCAGTTATGATTTGCTGAGTTTGGTGACGTCGTTTGTTGTCCGACTTGTGTATAGGAGAACAGAAGAAATTTTCGAATTAAAAATAAGCCCTTCGAATAGTTTTTAGTTTCCAGATATGGGTATGATATGTTCTAACTGATTATCAGTTCACTGTTCTGACTCCAATTAGGCCTTCAGTGTACCGTGTGGGGGCGGGCACTTTGGTCCCTCGTTTCTATGTGTCAAATCTTTCCGAAAAAAACACTATAATTTTGATAAAATTTTGATACTCTAACCTGAAAGTTTTGTCAAATCTGTTTGTTCTAGGGTCTCTACAAAACTCAAATATTCAAAATGTCCGACCCAAGAAGAACGGGAAAACTTCGGGTCAAAAGAAAACTACCTTGTTACAAATTGCTCCAACTTTTGTCATTTCTGCCGAAGGATCGGGTTAGCAAATCCCCTTTATTAAACAGACTCACTTTCCACCAGCGTACATTTCGGATGTGTCGAAGTAGTTCACTCCAGCTTCATATGCTGTGTGCACTAGTTTTTCAGCAACCTGCAAGAAATATTTAAGAATCGCACATAATTTTGGGATATTGATTCTGTTGTTGAAAATTTTTCTAAGCAGCTTTTTGGATTTTGACAAATGGAATACTCTAAATTTGCCGGATGCAACGTGTATTACAACTCTAAGCTCAGTCTTAATGTGCTCGCCTACTTCTGAATGCCACAGACATCTCTTTACTTTTGCTGGAATTTGCTGGAAGTCTTTTTTTTGCCGGAATTTGGAGAAAAAAGATGTCTACACAAAATTCTGACTCAATTTTTTGGAAAATTTTGACAAGCAGTCGCGTTTTTTCGCAGGGGGTCGAATCCCTGAGGGGGAGGGGGGGCGTTCGCGCTATCCCCCTCCTAAATCCGCCCCTGGTTCGAAATTTTTACTTGCCAGCCAAAATCCGCGTAGTGTATTTTTTGTCTTTCGTTTCCAATTCATAAGAAAGTTGCGGAGTCTTCCGCAAGTTTGATAGAATCCAGTGGCAATGTCCATGGAACCCACACAATTACCAAAGTACCCGAACTTGGCGTCATAGTGTGAAACATAATGCTGATTTCTATTGAAGTCTATAAAGTATTGAGTTGACCTCTACTTAGAAAATGAAGCCAGCTGTTTGAAAATAATTTGTTCAGCTATTTATTCAAGGTCACTTACTCCGTCGTCAATTTGATTGGCGAATGTGGCGAATGTTCCCAGCCCTACACATGATAGTTGAAGACCACTTTTGCCCAGAATTCTAAAACAGTGATTGCAACTCTCAGATTGGATTGAAAATTTTGTTGACTTTCTTATAGCTCAGTAATGTTAGTTAGTATTTTAATTTCGAAATCAGGCTTGCGTCTTTTTGGAGCCTCTTTATCTTCGCAAATCCGGTAGCTTAATGGCCTGAACAAGCTGTTCTTTAGCAATGTTAGCAATGGCTAATTTGCATGAACTTCCCCCATTTTGGTATCAACGAACCTTCATTTTTTAAAAGATGCCTTCGCTGCGAGTTTATATTGATGGAAAAAGAGCGCAGGCCAAAAAACGGTAAAGTGTGTTTCTAAACAGCTAAAAACAGTATGTTGAAAGTCTTCCGAGCGTTCGTCCAGTTTTTTGGACCACGAAAACTTTGACAGCATCAAAACCGAAACTACAGAAATACCTCCAAAAATATATTCAAAACAGATTATAGATATGGAAGTTTGAAGTAATAATACCTGTATTGCATTTCAATTGGCTTTCCACTGCTTTTCGTAACGTGACACAATGTCTTCCGACTAGATTTCCTGTAGTCTAGACTTAAATTGTTCTGCGTCAGATAGAGACCAGAAGCCCCACACCCTATCCCCCCGACTATGCCCGTTCTACTTTTAGGGGGTTCGGTGAAAGAGTAGCTCCGGGTGGGGAATGATGACAGATATACGGAGGGGCGGGTCTGAAGGGGGGTCGAAGTGTGGTGAGGATTCAGGGCCACAATTGGGGTGAACTGAGACTGAAACAAAACTCATTTTGAGTCAGCAAAAAAATTAATGTTAAGTAAGCAGCTCCGTTTTTTTTTCAACTACAGTTATAATTACAAATGTACCAAAGAGAAAATTTTTTTTTATAAATAAAACTTTTGAATACATTATTCTTTTTTCTTGTAAGGGAAAAAATTGAACTGAGGAAGAATTGAGGATCGTGTCCATGATGATTAATTGATAAGCAAAAGCTCAAATGATGCTGAGCAGCGATTGCTGAGAGATTGAGACCGATCTGAGTCAGAGGCACAAAGGGTGAGGTCCCTACCACTCAGGAATTCGAACCCCCCCCCCCCACCACTATCCAAAGGATACTCGTACGGTTCTATTTTACAAGCCTCTATTTTCAATCAACCAACGCCAAAAGACGCCTTTGACGCCGGGGTATTTTAATTTAAAAAGGCAAAAGTGCTGAAGAAACGTAATTAAATGGTCCAACCTTCCAAAAAAAGCCCTACAACGTAACTTTGACCGGCTGTTTAACAGGGAGGAAAAGATAATGTTCTGAGAAATCACGGAAATTGAAATCGACCAGACCCATGAAAAAGGGCGACATAACTGATGGACGTTTTTTGAAAAACCGCATCGGGGAAACTTCTAGATCCGCACATGATCTGAAACGAGTGCTGACTAATCATTTCACCATTTAATTACAAAAAGTTTTTTGTTGCTTATCTCAATGAACTCTTTGCTGAGATGACTTTTAAATGATATCACGCTTGATCCCCGTGAGTAATCGGAGGTAATAGAATCCGAGCGGATAAAACGCCCTATATCATGAATTCGTTTCACTCAGTGTATCAAGATTTTTACGTCATTGCGTTTTGATTTTTGGTTTTATCTCTGGGATTAACTGCAGTATGCATTTCAAACAAAGTATGCATTTCGAACATAACGCACAAATAAATTGGCTTCCAAAAATTTTTTGTGGGATTGCATTTGAATGCTGATAATGACCTTAAATTTTCTATCAGTTTTTTCATTTAAAACTGTTAGTTTTGCTTTGCTGTAATTGATATATTATCCGTAAAAAGAGTTTTTTTGCCCCTAAATCCATTTGGGGAGGGGATTATAATACGATTAATCTCATCTCTGATCACAACTTAAGTGGCACTGTACAGATTCTTAAACAGTACTGTAATTTCACTGAAATCTTACTGCGACAACACTCTAAACGAGACCAATTTGGTATTAACTTCACATAACAAACATAGTCATTTTAGTAAAATACAATTTAGTCGCCTCTTTTGTGGCACAATGTTGAATCAAAAAAATTGTAAATTGATGATTTGAAAAACAATATTGCTGTTCCGATCATTCGGGAAATAAGGAAGAATTTTGTCTTCGGGTGTGTCTTAGTTTTTTTTTTGTTTTCCACGCAAAATCAGCTTCCGCAAAAAATCATCGGAGAGTTGAGTGATATATCATTCTAAAACCCATTCAGTCGTGATTCGAACGAAATTAAAAAATTTTCCAAGAAAAAATCCCGATGTCAAAATAAGGTTGTAAATTTTGGATTGAACGGCTTGAAATTTTGTTTTTTTTTGTCTTAATTTGAGCGAACCTATAAACTTAGTTTACTCTTAATTTTTTTTCGTTTTTCTTGTCAGTTTTATTCTACAGAAAGTGTTTTGTTTTGCTTTTTTTTACTCTGGTTGTCAAATATGCCTAATCTTCAGTTTTCGCTCAGATCTTTTTATCACACCATTAAGAGGCCAAACTGTGCATTTTGTGAATTGTAAATAGATTCCGCAACAGGCCAAAATCAGATTTACCGCGGAAAATGTTGTTTTTCTTTGATATTCTTTATTGTTTTGGAGCCCACAAACAAATGGCTAAAACACTGTACATCTAAAAATTGCTCCAAAATTTGGCAAAATTGTGGAATCTGTAACAGTTTTGCGGAATCCTGAACCTTTTGTGGAATCCACAACTAAATAATAAGACATGTGTATAGCAAAATAAAACAGAGCTGTTGCGAAATCCACAATTCTAAGCGAAATCCGCATATTGTAAGCGGAATCCGCAAAATATAAGTGAAATCCCCAATTTTATTGCAGATTCCAGTTACGTATGTAAAATATATCTTTTACAACTAATTTATTTGATCAGCTACCGGTTGAATTACCAAATCTTCGATCTCAATGGCTGTCCCAGCAACACCCAACTGCGATCTCAATTCCTGTCAAACACCCAACTTCGATCTCAATTCCTGTCAAACACCCAACTTCGATCTCAATTCCTGTCAAACGCCCAAGTTCGATCTCAATTCCTGCTAAACACCCAACTTCGGTCACAGTTCCTGTCAACTTACTCCCAACTTCGATCTCAATTCCTGCCAACTTACACCCAACTTCGCTCTCAATTAAAGCAAACTGTACAAACTGGAGTGTTTCGATCGGTGATTGTGTTTCCAACGATCCCAAAAACTTGAAGAATATTTTCGGGTGAACAATACTCAAGGTTGACATCCATTAATTTAATTAATCAATGTCTTAAGATTTGTTCGTGGATTCCGCTGACAATGGTTAAGCCCTAGTTTTAAATTACGCTTTGCTGTAGATAAAAATCATAATTCTAGTGTTTAATTGTTCGTATGCAAGTTCAATAATAAACAAAATTGTTTGAAATTTGTAGAATTCTCTTACCGTTACCGAATCCAGAACAGCAAGCTATATTCGCTTGTTGCAGAATCGGCAACAAAATAAATGCGGCGATATAATTTTCGTTAGAGGTGTTTGTACGCGGAATCCACCGAAATTTTGTAAGTGGAATCCACTGGCTCTTTAGAACATCTTTAAAGGTTTGTCTCTGGAAACCAGGAACATGTTGACACAAAATATCGTGCGCTTATCCAATGCACAGTTTGGCCTCGTTATGACCACCCCAAAAAATCATTTATTCGAAAAAAATTTTGTAGTGTTTTTTAAGACTATGGTCAGAATATGCTGTGCTATTTACAAAGTAACCGGCGGTCCTGGTTTTTTCTTTTTGTTTCATAAACATCTTTTCTTGCTGTTTCCATAGGTTCAAGTAGGGAGTGAACAGCGCAACGAATTGAAAATTATAATCGAAGTCTTGTTTAGTCGTTTATGGGCTTAAAAATTAGTTCATCTGTAGGATTAGTTGGCATAGCTTGCAGTAATTTGTCTGGAAAACAAATTTGACCACACCAGAACTCATCAGCTTGGAGAGAATTCTTTAAAAATTTTATTTTCATCAAGGAAACATGACTGGCATTGTTTTGAATCGATGCAACGCGTAACCACCTTCAGTGTTTTTTGATGTACTTGTATCAGCTGGAAAAAAGCGCCCTTTCATCATAGCTATTTCGCACTTATCGAGAGCGGCAACAACCAAAATTCTTTATCAGTTACTTTAAATATAGCGAATGCGTAGGTAATTGGCTAATAGTTTTTCTTCGTTGGTTTTCTTTCGCTTCGCTTTACAGCAAAAGATGCATCCGTTCTCTTGAAGTCAAGAAAATATGATTTCAAAATTTAAAATTGCAGTTCGATTTACAATTGATTTGGCTTTAATATAATTTTTACGCCACCCAATTTGACGATCTTTTGTGATACTTAGATATGCACAATATTTACGCTCAAATGTTTCCTAGGTGTCTATGCCGTTGATCTGAACTCAGTAATAACCATATAGCTTTCTTGTTTTTTTTTTGCTCTAGATGATTACGTCCAATTATCGCTTTTTTATTGAATAATATGAACAAAAGCCAAACCACGGTTGAAAGATCTTCAATAACTTACCTTACAAGTTCCTTGCGACCTTCTTTCAGGCATCTCAAATTGGCCTAAATTATTCCTTGGAAACTTGAGTGGTAAAATTCTAATGTTTTCCCAAAACTTTCAGAAAAATTGAAATGAATTAACTATTAACACTATTAACTTACCCGCTTCGTTGTTGAAATAACTCGACCTTGTTTGAAGGCTTCACTTGGAGTCGATGAGCCTTCGGAAGAATCAGTCGGAAGTTTCGGCGCCAACCCCGAGGTCATCGAATTGCAAATTGGAGTCTGTTTCAACGGAAGCGTCAGTGGAATGCAGTGCGCGTTGGTTGCTCCGAAGAGCACTGGCACCGAATTTTTTTGAGTGAGCGGGTAACTCGCAGGACTTCGTGGCCTTTCCATCGCAATGCTTAAGAGCGAAGTTTCGGTTTTACTCTCGGGAATCGAACCCAAGTCATGATTTGATATATTCATTCTTGTAACTTCGCAGGAGTTCAAGTTGTACAAAAATTCGAGTTTCTAGTAACTGGTACGAAGAATTGTAACAGAATTTTTATTTTAGTTAGTTCGGTTAATATTTACTTGGATTTTCGCTGAATAAACTTATGGCGTGTGGTGTTGTAGCAGCAATAAAATGGTATCAAAGATAAGTGCAATAGAACGGGAGTAAGTATCTAAGTTGCTAGTGGCGTTGTTTCTCCTGATAATTTATTCAGTATCGGGTATCTTTTAAAGTACAGGTGACACTTGATGCGACTCTTGTTTTCCCCTCAAAGGCGCTTTGAACCAAACTGCCCGGGAAAAATGAGGACTTTCAAGTTCGCTTTAAGGTGTTTTCCTTACCTCTCTGCTCTCCAAGGCTTACTTTTTACAGTAGTAAATAAGCTGAGGTGTACTTGATTAGAAATACATCAAATAAATTGAATGATGCATTTTTAGGCGCAGGTTCAAAACGTAATCTATTTTTTGTTCTTTTGGAAAATGGAAATTAATTTTGTTATTAAAATATCTGTGTCAAATTATTGACCAAAGTAATCACACGTAAGCCAAAAAAACATCTAAAAGGTTTGGTTCAAAAAAAAAGATTTTGACCCTTTGGGCAAATTAAATAGAATAAAAAAGTAGGTTTTTTTATTCCGTAAAGCTATTGATTTCACTTAGTTCAACTCAAGGTGAAATTTGGCCGATTTTTACCAGAAGAATTTTAACAATTGCACTCGAAAATATTGATTGGAAAATATTTGTGCAGGAAAATTTAATTCATTTTGTTCCTCAGAAGAAAATGAATTCTGTTGCAATCAGAAATATTCATTGTGTTGGAGGTCTTTGTAATTTGATAAAGTCCAAAGATATCTATTTTAGATTCCTTCATTTTCTCAACTCGTTCTCCAAAGTTTGTGAAATTTGAAAAGATGAGACATCAAAATTGAACTTAATCTATTTTAAAAAACATATATTTTTAATTCAAATCTTTTCAAAATAAAAAACAGTGAAGTTTAGAAATGGAAGTAATCGGAACTTTTTTTCGCTCGCTTAAGTAACATAATATGTCTGAGCTAGGAATTAAATGGGCTATGCTTTATGGTTATGGGGTATTATGGCTGGGGCTGAAATGGAGCTGTAAAAAAAGTACTAACTAGGTTCACTTAAATGGGTCTGTGGGAGGGAAATTTGGAGACAGGGACGGGAGGGGGGTGGCCTTGTGAACAATCAGTAGGGAGTTATAAAATCAGTCTATAAGTTGACTCCGCATTATACGACTTCCTCTAAATTCATAAATCTCTTATATGTTTCTATCAAATGAGCATATTTTTTTGAGCATGTAGACAGAAAAGAAAGAAAGGGAAGTTTAGACACGTTTGGTTTATTTTAAGAAACTTAAGACCCCGTCGTATTTTTTCGCAAATCCTATCTATAGAAATGAATCAGCTAAAAATTGGTCTATCTGAGTGTTTGGCGATATTTTGAAGGCCAATTGAGTGGACGATGTTTTGATTTGGAATTCTCACGGGAATTTCCTTGAGCCAATTGAACAGTGTCTGCCATATAGTGTAGTTTATAGTAGCCAGCAGGAATGGATTAAAACCAGGAGGGTCGCACACAGCCCCTCTTTCAGAGACTCAACCCCTCACCTCCCAAAGGGTCGCCCTTAGTAGTATTTAACGAAATCCATTTTCGACCGACGGACACCAACTTTCTTAGGTTTCTTTCGGAGCCAATTATATTAAATTTGAGGGGAGCAATTTTTTTGGCCTGTGTTTTGAAAAATTGCCTGCAGCACAAACAGTTCTGACTGAATATTGCCTTTATAGTGTTTCGTGAGAGCTCTGAAAATCAATTGGGTTGGCCTAAAAAAAGGTTGACACAATAATTTTTGGATTTTTTTGAAAACTCATTCCTTCAAAAATCAAAAAAATTCTAGATCCACCACTGGTACCCATAAAAACAGCACCATTGAAGTTAGATGTATAAAATAATCCGAAAAA